TCGCATTGCTTCACAAATGTCAAGCAAGAGGGTAGGTGCAGAGGGAGGAGTAAAGTGACTGTAGATACGGTCAAAGCTGAACAACGTTGGTCAGCCCTTGCTGTATGAATTGAGGAGCCCAGTTACAGGGAAGCTTATTAGGCTGATGATGCCGGTGTCTTTGCAGTTTGATTAGTGATCAATGAATTCTTCAAGAGGAGAATTGAGACAGTGTTCCCTGAATTGGTGCTGGGATGCTGGGATCTGCATAGTAGCATCAAACACACGGCCAGCAAGCTCCATAGCTGCACGAGTGGCTTTGGATGAAACGTTTTTTCCAAAACGTCCGGCAGGGAGGTGGGAGAGATGATCTTTCCCAGTAGTTATCGACTCGGACATTTGTAGGAGTGCATCTCCCAATAGCATATCACAAATCCTCTCCATCTCAGGCTACAATAACAACAACTTGCTATAGCGCCCTTCACCCAGGATAACATCTTCATCAGAACTGAAATGCTACGGCTCTATTAGTCTCCCTCTTTTGGATGTTAAGTGAATTGTTGTGGACGACCAGAATTTCTGGTTTTGTTTCAGGTTTCTAGCATAATTAGTATCTATTTTACATAAATTCTAGGTGGGGTGGGCTGAGGTGAGAGGGGTATGGATTCAGGTGTCCCCCTGGGAATTACATATCCTAATACTGACAATATTGACATCTGTAAAACTCCCCAGATTATAACAACTTATTCAGCATTTCCATCCACTGAGTGTTAGAATGAAGATGGGAAATGCCATCAAGTGTGGTGCAGAGAGGCTCAGCCATTGTCCTGAGACTGTGCTAGAAGCTGCTTTACTGAAGCAGAAAACCATGCCATTGCCTTAGGTCTGTACCATACCAAATTCATCAGTAGGTATCAATGCATTCAAAACAATAAGTGTCTATTGCTTTTAATATTGTTATGAACGTGAACATTTATGAACACTCAGCTGATAGTTTTCCCACATCATGTATTGATGCTGTAACCTTTGTCGGGCTAATGGACATGTTTAGTTTACAATAATAAATAATAATCCTTGCATTTGGTATAGGGCCTTTTCATGTCGTCGAGACATCTCATAGCACTTCAGGATACAGTGTGAAGTGGATTGACTGTGTATTTTTGTGGCCAAAACGCAGCAGCCAGTTTTGTGCACAGCAATGTCCCACAGACATCTATGGAGTGATTTGATCAATTTTATTTGGGAGATTTATGGACCACAACATCAGGAGAAACTTCCTTCTCTAATGCTGCTATGGGATCTTTAACGTCCAACTGATCACTGCATTGGAATGTCAATTTAGACTTGTGATTTCAAGACCCCAAGCGGGGTTTGAGCCCACAAGCTTGTGACTCAGAGGTGAGTGCTACCACTGCGCCAGGCTGACATGGAGTTTGCTAAAATGTAATATGTTTCACTTGAGCATTTTTCTTAAAGTGATTTGCTGCCATAGCTCTGAATGTGACAGAAAACATAGGCCATGTCGACATGAGTGTCTATTATATATATAATATAATCTTGGCATTTGGTACAGTGAATTTGTATGTTGTTGAGCCGTTTCAAAGGGGCTTCACATGATTTTTCTGTGAAGTGAGGTGACTGGATTGGTAGGCAAACACGGATGATTTAGTGCTTGATCCACTGGCCTAGCTTTAATAATTCAACATTTAAATGTCCAAATTTTGAATACATAGATATATGTACAGTATCTTCCCATCTGTAGTTACCAAATGCTATTCTAATCATAAAACTAAATCATGAACTAGGCAACAGTATTAATTGTGTGAAAATTTGAGCTTTTGTGTTTGTATCACAGTAGCCAATTTTAGCCAATGTCATCCAAGGGTTAAATTTAGGTATTTTTAACTCTTGTAGGTATACACCCAAGTGTGATTCCCAAGGAAGAGGCAGACATCCATAGGTTATTAAGGCACTCTGAAGAAAACAGAATCCCTGGGTTATGATTGGAATACTATATAGGAATACTACTGTGGATTAAAATAACCAAATGTTTCACTGAAGTATGTTAACTTCTAAATCAATGGAGGTTGGGGTTGGGGGGGTAGAAGGTGGAAATGTGCTTAATATAACCCATGCTGAGTTTAATCCCAATAATCCACTGTGTTTAATCCCAATAATCCACGGTCTGTTTAATACCAATAATAAACCCTGTTTAAGAATAATAACCCATACTGAATTTAATATTAATAACACTTGCTGGATGTAATATTAATCCATGCAATCCTTAAAATCAAGAAAACATCCTGTTTTATCGTGTTGGTTGGTCTCATTAGAGAGTAAAATGAAATGGCCTGTTCCTCAGAGAGGAAGAGTGTGGATTTAATAATTTTACAGGGTGCAATAATTGTTTAACCAGGTGATGGAGGCCGGTTGTGTTAGTAGATTTAAAAAGGAATTAGATCTGTAAATATTTGACAAATAATTAATTTTAAAGGTATGAGTAGTGTAGGATTTGTTTTTCTTTGAGATGGACAGCAGTGATCTTTCTCTGGTCTGTTTCCAGAGAGAGTATCTATAATGGAGCCCAACTGGGTGCACTGAACAAGATGAAAATCAAGGTGAATGATTCTAGTCCAGATTCTAGAACAGTTCATTACTTTCCTTCTTCAGTGACAATTGTGTAAATGCTTTGTGATTTGTTTTTTTGATTACCTGTGCTTTTTTTTTTCGCAATGATTAGATCCTTCACATTAAATCTGAGGGGAAATTAGAGACCTAAAGTTCTTAATGTACTTAGCCTTAAGACATTGTGATTGAAATTAACGATTGTGCAAAATTTTAGAAAATTCTTAAACGTACCCTTAATTTGCAAGACAGTTTGAACTGCTTCTAAATTAAGCCTGAATTTAAGTACACTTTATTTTCAAAAGCCTGCATGGTCTAAAATATTAACATAATGCTCTTCAGGCTAAGCCTACAAGAAATTTCAGGATTCAAATGACTAGATTTAGCCTTGACTATACAATAGTACTGTTAATAAGTGTGAAGAGTGGAAGCTCTTACACTGATGCTTGCCTCCATTACTGTGATATGCAGACCTCTGTGTTTTATGGGCGAGTGAGCCCTTTCATTAACATGATTTTACCATTGTGCTCAGTGGCAAACATTTTCATTTGGGCGTAAAACTGATGCTTTGAAGTTTCTGCTCGTGCTTGAAGGCTGAAGGAATTAAGAGCTGTTACGTTACATTTAAATTATCTTTTTATTTTTTGTGAAATATGTAAGGGTGAAAAATGCAGCATGTGATTTGCTGATTATCAAAGGTGATAACTATCACATCCTACCTTTTTGACTGTGTGTGTGTTACATATATATAAAACAAACAACAACTTGCACTTATATAGCAATCTCCACGCAGGATAGCGTCTCAGAGTGACATATATAGTTTATAAATCTCTCTCCCCACATACCCTGGGTGTCCATCTTAAGCATTGAGCTTAATTATTCTGTAATTAAAATTAACTAGGGTATGTAGATATATATAATATATGTGTCAGCTTAACTCAATGGTAACATTGGTGCCTCTGAGTCAAAAGACTGTGGGTTCAAGCTCCATGCTAGGCTTCTAGTCTGGGCTGCCACTGTAGTGCTGCATAGTGCTGCAACTTCCACATGTATGCGGATGACACCCAACTCTGTCTTTCTGCCTCCACCTTCAACTCCAGGACCACTGCTGTCCTGACAGACTGTCTGTCGAACATCAAGTCCTGGTTGAGGGCAAATTTCCAACAGTTGAATGTGAACAAGACTGAGGCCCTCCTGATTGGCTCACGTCAGCGCCTCAGCACCTCAGGCTCTGGCAACATCAACCTCCATGGTTGCACACTACAACTCACCAGCCAGTCAGGAACCTCGATGTCTTGTTCGACCCTCAACTGTCTTTACTCCCCCACATTCAAGCCATAACCTGCTCTGCCTTCCCTCATCTCCGTAAAATCGCCCGACTCCGCCACTACCTCACCCCTCAGGCCGCTAAAACTCTTGTTCATGCCGTCATCACCTCCAGGCTCGACTTTGCAAATGCCCTGCTTGTCAACCTTCCCAACTCCTCCCTCCACAGGCTGCAGATAATCCAGAATTCTGCAGCCCGTGTCCTCTCCCGCACCAAACTCCGTGACCCCTTCTTCCCCATTCTCGCCCGACTCCATTGGCTCTCTATCCTTCAGAGGATCCAGTTCAAAACCCTGGTCCTCTCATACAAAGCCCTCCATGGCCTCGCCCCACCCTACCTCTGCGACCTCCTAACCCCCTACCAACCCGCCTGCTCCCTCCGCTCAGCCGGCTCTGGCCTGCTCCACGTCCCCCGACCCACCTGCCCCACCATGAAGGAGAGCCTTCAGCCACTCTGCCCCCAACCTTTGGAATTCCATCCCCCAGTCACTCTGCCTCACCCCCTCCTTAGCCTCCTTCAATTCCTGCCTCAAGACCCTCCTCTTCGACCATGCCATCAGCCAACCCCCTTCCCCTCTCCTCCCTTACCCCCCCCCCACCCCCGGACCCCAGCTTGGGTCTGAAATGCTGTACCCTGTCCATCACCTTGGGACGTCCTCCCGACGTGAAAGGCGCTATACAAATATATCTTGTTGTTGCATTGGTGGAGATGCTGTCTTTTGGATGCCATTTTAAAGCAAGCTTCTGGATGCTTGTTTAGACGGATATTACAGATCCCATGGCACTATTCGAAAAGAGAAGGGAGTTTATCCCGGTGTCCCGGCCAACAATCCCCCAAATAAAATTGTTCATTCATTTCATGTCTGCTGGTGGGACATTGCTCTGCAGAAACTTAAACCTACATGATACACAGTTACTACATTTTGCAATAATTTCTGTAAAGGGCTTTGACACGTCCTCATGACAGTAAATTCTTGCAGAATATCACCACGTAATAGTGGCTCTAATCATCATGTAGTTGTTTACGTTTAGAATTTCTAGTAAGCCTTGTTCTTTTCTCTCTTCCACAGGTGTGCTGTTCACCACCATGCTGTTTGGCCCTGCTTTTGGGTTTATGCTGGGCTCCTTGTTTACAACGATTTACGTGGATGCTATCTTCATTGACGTCAGTGAGTGTTCTTGTATATAACTTTGTGAATACTGTTATAAACACACACTCAACCCGGGGACATGTAACCATTGTAATGCTGAAGGAATTCTGTCAACTTGCCACCCGTAGGTGTTTCTAGGCTGCTTCATGCTCTCACATTAGCTGTACTGAGGTCTCAGCTCAACGAAACCTATGGCCAGAATAAGAATGAAGCAATCTCCTATTTGAATCGAAATAAGATGACTCGTTTATTATTAAAGTAAATAATGCTGCAATAGTAAGGTGCAGACTTGCAGTCTAAACTGCTTGTTGGACAAACTCCCAATTGCTGTGTGGAAGTATCAGTGTAAGGAAACGCCTGAGGCTACCACCTGAGGTTGCTCTTTCATGGCCCCTAGTGGCCACTTCACAAACAGTGTTGATTGCGTCCCAGGAGAAGGTCACCTGATAACCCTATCATTGGTAAATGGTGGAAGGCAACAGTATAGGGAAGGATGGGAAGGTCATACACTGAACCAAGATAGTTGTACTTGCATAAGAACCTCCTATTGAGATTTTTATCACACATGGAAAAGATAAGCTGCAATTTGAACACATTGTACTCCTATCTTTGTTGGACCATTTACCATGCTCCAAATATAGGAGTGACATAAACCAGTGAGATTGACCAACTGGGTTTCCAGCAAATTCAACCAGTTCTGGGACATCCAGGATCAGGTTTCAACTGTGACCCCTTGTTAAGTCACTTCCGCTGGGGATCCAAGTGACAGCAAGTGGCTTAGCAATATGAAACCTAGAGAGAGTATTGACGGGGAATTTTAGTGAGGTGGGGAAGTGCCGAATCTATTGACTTGATGAGAAAGGGGGGAATTGGATATACATTGATCACAGAAACTAAAGATCATTTCAATACATATTTACAATGGGCTTTATTAAAATTAGGAATGATTCTTACTATCATTGTGTAACAAAATGATGACAGACTATTACTAATGTAATGGAAAGTTTGCTAATGTTAACTTATCATTAGAATTATTCAATAGGCAACTGGACAAGCATCTGAGCAGTAAAGCAATAGATATTGGGAAAGAGCTAGAAAGTAGATTAACAATAAACAGGCAATTTAAAGAAAACAGGTAGCAATGGTACAGACACAATTTACAGAGTTTATTTTTTCTTTCAGCAAAATTGGACATCACCCAAGATGATCCTCGGTGGATTGGCGCTTGGTGGGCTGGCTTCCTGCTGTGTGCTGGTCTTCTCTTCTTCTCATCCCTCTTCATGTTCGGGTTTCCCCAGGCCATGCCTAAAAGGCAACACACATTGAGTAAGAGCGTCCAGCAGCCCATGCTCCCAAATAAAAGCCAGAAGGAGCAGCCAAAACCAGCCCCAGACGACAAAACGAAAAAAGAATGTAAACAAACCAGCGAAGCAACATGCACTCAATATCTGAGAGGTAACATTTTTTTTTGAGATATATGTCTCTCTTAAGGGAGTGTTGTTGCCCTTGTGGGATGGGTGCGCAATTAGGGTCACTCCTTAGCAGAGTTGAATACATTGCCTAAGTCCCTCGACCTGAAGAATCATGAATCAGACTGGGAGAGCACAGATTTTATGCTTCTTTGTTGGATAGTAGCTGAAAAAATAATTAGAATTGTAAAACTGTACAATGTTGTTTAAACAAACTAAACAAACAATGAAAAGGCCATCCGAGCTAGATTTGCAAAATGCAAAAGTTTTGTTGATTTAACAGGGTGTAAATCCAGCAGAAACCATTCCCTAGAAGTCAGAGGGTTTTTTAGTATTGGTGATACCTTAAAGAATGGGTCACATGATTAGCGGAGTATTACTACAAAGTGTTCAGTTTATAATTATCACATCTCTCATGTGTTACCGTTATTTTACCACCAATCTCTTGACATATCCGAGATGGTTTAAGTCAACTAAACTCTTATCGTTCTGATTTACATATCGAAGATATTATACACATTGACCCAACTCTCCAGCCACGCCTACATCACCTCTACTCCAAAATGCTTTTCTACATGAAGGGCACTGTATAACTGAAAGTTGTTATTGCAGCTTTCTTAGGCTTAAAGTGAAAATATAATAGTTTTCCATATTTGGGTGGTTTCAGAAGGGGATTCTGCGACAGGAGCAAATTTTTCAAAATATTTATTCTGGTGATGGCTGCAGAGAGCAAAGAGAGGAGATATGAAGTGGGAGTGTCAAGGACTACGTTAACATACCCAGAAAGGTTGCATACTAAACCCATTCAGTGATTTTTAACTGAACGGGGAAAATCCCATTATTTTCTGACATGTAATTTTAGATGGAATTTCTACCTATGCCTGTTGCCATAGCAATAGTTCTCAGGGTCTTATCTATCACTGATACTAAAACAGTGACTGCACCAATCAACGTGTCCTAAGAAAGAAAATGGTGTACATCTGACATTAAAATTCCAGTACAACGGGTAAAACTGGCTCTGTAGTGGTGTATTATAGTTTGTAATTGCGCCCAAGGCATTTTTATAAATATTCAGTTTTTACTGATAGTCAGTAAAAATTACCCAGGCTTTATTTGGAGCCCATCAGGTAAAGCAATATTTTAAAAATAATCATTGGCTGCTCTCTCCCGATTTCCACTATCCCATTTCCTAATGAGTTCCTATCAGGATCAAATTTAAACTAGAAGTAACCTGGACAACAGTCTCCTGGTTACAAATTGTCATTCAATTCATGGCTGTATGTGGGACATTGCTTTGTGCAAATTGGTTGATGTGTTCGCTTACAAATAATAGTAATAATTGGTGTACTCGATGTACTTGGTGTAGCACCTGATCAAGTTGTTGAGACGTCTAAAAGCGCTTCACAGGATATACTTTAAAATGGATTGACTGTGTATTTTGTTGACAAATATGGCAACCAATTGCACACAGCAGTGTCCCCCAAACAAACATGGAGTGAGTAACCAATTTTATTTGGAAGATTATTATTAGAAGTGAGTGCTAAACATGTGCTTACCCTCTTCACACCTAGCTCAGACCAGACTACCAGCCTAGTTCTGATTATTATAAACTGTCTGCTGCACTCATTCCCATATAATTCATAGCAGGCCAATCCCACTAAAAAAATTGTCCTGGTTCAGTGTTCCCCGTTCCTGATAAGATATCCAGTGGTGGTGCTCAGCGTTACTGGGAGCAGTGGCTGGTGTGAGGGTGAGCAGGTTGATGGAGGAAGGGGAGGGAAGAAACAGCTTGAGTTTTAAATAATGGAACCTCTGTGTTCAAATTTTAAAATGCAAGGTAGAAAGAGATATGCAGACACATAGATTTATCTGGATTGTACAGCACAGAAACAGACCATTTGGCCCATCTGTCCATGTGTTTTCTACGCCACACGAGTCTCCACCCCTACTTACTCCATCCTATACTCTTCTATTTCCTTCTACCTCATGTGTATATCCAGCTTCCTCTTAAGTGCATCTACACTACTTGATTCAACTACTGCTTTGCACATATAGTTTCGCCTAAATCCTCTTTTAGATCCCGTAGTCTTTTAGAGCCCTTTGTCACTATATTTTAGATACCCCTAGTCATTAGCTTTTGGACACACAAACTAGCAGAGGAAGATTAAGCCAGCATAGAGGGCAAGAAATCAGGATAGCCAAAGAGAAAATAGTTGAAAATGTTTAAAAGATGAAAACAAATGAAAATGTTTTATAAAGGTTTTTAATACAGTAAAAGATGTATGTGGCTTAAAAAAGAAAGTTTTGACTGTAAATTTATTTTGAGGGTGTTGGCACTCCTGAAAGGAATTGTTATAGCAGTTTATGAAGTTGAAATGTCTCATAAAACTTTAATGTTGAATCTAGTCTTAAAGGAACTTTCGATTTAACAATTCGGTGACAGATCCTTCTCTGCATTTCAGAGCAGCGTTTCCTTGTAGAGCACACCCTTGACAGGAAGTCTCACAGCCGTAGCCAAAAAGAACAGGATGTTAGTGTCACAAATATAATCTTACAGTTAGTACTCTCCAAATCATTTCCCTTTCTGCCCATTGTCATGGTTTTTTAGGTTCTTTAAGGTTTCGGAAAAGGCTTAGCAAGTTGGCCGTGGAATGCTTTTAGTCTTTCACTTCACAACACACCCGAGATTCACGTGCACTTTCCCTTTAATTTCTGATCTCTCCCTTTTTCAGGCAGATACACTTTGAACTCACCCGTATAAATATGTTGTGCAAACAGTCCCACACCTGTCCCCACATAGTGGTTTATGCCAGGTGGGTGGGTGGCAGACAGGCAGGAGTGTTTTTCTGTCACCTGTAATCTGATTTTGTGCCTGGAAGGAATAATGATAATCCTTGGGTTTGATATAGCTCCTTATGACGTCATTGAGACATCTCAAAGTGCTTCACAGAATATACTGTAAAGTGAATTGACTGATAGTAAATAATAAAGTGAATAGGGAAAAGAGTAGTTTTCTCAGGTGACTGATCATTCCTTGCTTCTGAGCACCAGTGACAGGACTCCTCTTCTGCAGAAAAAATTATTGTGGCATTAAAAAAAAGTTCTAAAAATACTGAAACCATTGCCGCAATGGGGTTCAATCTGGGTGAGTCCCAAAAGGAATGGGAGGCACTACTGTCATTTAATTTACTTGAGAGAGGTCGGATTAAGTTCAGCGACATCTAAAAGTCAATAACTTGTGAAAAAAAGAGCGAAATTCGGGCCGTGGGGAAACAGATAGTGTTTTGCTCTCAGACCTTATTTTCATATTGCAATATCCACCCATTTTGGCAGTACCTACTTAGTTCTTTGGAAACCTTTTCATGAAAGTAATCTAATAATCTTTGCATTTAATATTAGTGCCTTATCATGTTGTTGTGATGTCTCAAAGCGGTTCACGAGATTTTACTGTGACGTGTAGTGTATATTTGTGGGCAAACACAGCAGCCAATTTGCACACAGCAATGATGTGAATGACTAATTTTATCTGGTAAATTGTTGTTCAGGACATCAGGGAGAAACTGCCTTCTCCTTTCGAATGGTTCCATGGGATCTTTAACGTCCACCTGAACAGGCAGATGGGTCCTTGGTTTAATGTCTTATCCAAAGGATAATGCATTGTACCCCCAGCACTGCACTGGAGTGTTAGCTTTCATTATGAGCTCAAAACCCCAACTGTGGGGCTTGAACTACAGCCTTGTGATTCAGAAGTGAGCGTGCCATCAATTGAGCCAGCCTGACACCTCATGGTATAAAATGGCACCACAGTAAACAGTCTTTGCTGAGCAGATGATTGGATAGTTAAATTTTTAGTTTACTGCCACCAACAACAATTTGGAGTCATATGCACTTATCACCATACCAGAGATTACAGAGTGACAGAATAGTATCGAATGATGCTAAATCTATTTACACTCACCGGGAAATAAAAAAACCCACACCCAAACACACCTACTAGTTGATTCCAATTAAAATGAAAGTGATCCTAGGTAACCAATGTTAATAAATCATACTGTACCATTGTCTGGTGGTAGCTTGGAGAAGATTTTCCAATGAATAATAACAATATTTCTATTTGGTATAGTGCTATTTATTTTGGGAGATGCCTCAAAGTGCTTCACAGGATTTACTGTGAGGTGTAGTGATCGTTTACTTTGTAAGCAAACTTGGTTTTCAGACTAAAAGCAATCAGAGAATCACTCCTGACGTTTTTTTTTGTCCAGCACTTCCCCTCCTCTCCTGGGCTCATTCATTCCATATGTCTGTCTTTTCAGGTGATGTTATAGATCTCATAGCAAGATTCGAGAGAGAGGGAGATTTCCCTGTTCTTGGCCGACAATGATGCATTGGGACATTGCTGTGTACAAATTATGCTGTCACTACACTTTATAGTAAAACCTGTGAAGTGCTTTGAAAAGTCCTCCTGACACTATATCAAATGAAAGGATTATTATCATAATTATTATCCTGTGAAGCATTTTGAGACAACCTCCTGATGTGAAAAGAGCTATATCGAATGAAAGCATTATTTATTTATATATGCAGTGATTCACCTTACATTCCTTCAAAAAAAGGGTTACGAACAGAGAGGGAGGGGGTCTTATCGAAGTCTTGTGAAAAATTACAGATTTGTCAGAAACACTACAAGATAAATTTGGGGCATCTTGCAGTTACACATTGATCAGCAGGAACCAGTTAAAATGTTTATACACAATAAAANGACCCATAAAAAAAATTCTTCTCTCGTTTTTCTCCTTTGTTCCCAGTTTAGACAAGGATTAGCTTGATTTTGTGAGAGCTCATTTGTTAACACTGTTGCAAAGTCTGCCGCTGGCATGAAGCTTCAATGTTTATTTAGACTTTCCCATGGCATGTCCCACTGTACTGTGACCCTGCCTGTGCCATTCTTTCTCCAGTGAGTAACACTTGGCACCTTCCATCATCCTAGTTTAGCTCGATGACAGAACATGGACCTTTTGACTTATCTATCAATCCTGCTCCATGAATTGTAGTTTGAACCCACAATTTCAAGTCAGTGATTTTGGAATGTGGTCATACCTCTCAGAGATAAAATATCATTTTTTATGCCTGGTATTCAAAAGAAAAAACTTACCCAAGATCTGCCAAACTGAATAGGCATAGATACTGCCTTTTCATCTCCAGGTTCTGAGTTTGAATATACCCTGGAATGACGTAATCAACATTGTCTCTCTGTTGTCTTTGTACCTCTTTGTAGGTTGTGTTGCTCTATATTAGATGTGTATCTCCCTGCTGGCTGTGTCAATCTATGTAGGTTGTATTTCTCTGTGTACAACAACAATTTGCATCTATATAGCCTCACCCGTCACACAGAGTAGAGTACCTGAGTGCTTGGATGTTTGATGTAGAATGTTTACTTCTCTGTAGGATGTATCTCTCTGTGCAGGATGTGACCCATTGTATTTGGGGTATTCCAATGCAATACATGTGGAGAATTACGACCAAGTTCTAGCCAAGGGCTTACTGGATAAAACTGTCTTTAATTCACTATAACATGACCTCTTTCTCAGAGACATTACAGGATAGTCGTGTTGGAAATGATAAAGATTATACTGGTCGCGATGGTAGTCATGGGAAAGGTGCATCTCTGTTGGGGAAGATAAGACAGAGCTTTACTTTGTGTCACGCGTAGTTCATGCAAAGGGAAAGCGTCTATTTCCCAGCATGAACATCCTTGACTTTTTATGAATACAAAATTCACCAAAATAAAAGTTAAAAGAAAGAATTGTTGAAACTCACCCACTGACTGACAGCAATGCAGAGATTTGAACTTGCGACCTTGTTAAGTGCTCAACTGCATGAGCTATCAGCCCACCCTTGAGAAACCTGTTGAATGCAAAGCTTTCTCTTATTCTTGGGAGGCCACAGAAGAAACATTCCTCAGATCACCACGTGATTGCTTTCCATCCAACCATGTACAACATGCTAATTCCAACCAACTTATAAATACATCATAAGATCTAAACATTCTCTGACTTTGTGTTGTATAATAATATATCAGTGACAGTTTTTTTAAAAAAGGTGATTTCCTGGGCATCGCTCCAGAATACTGTGAAGCCATCATTTTGATACAAGTCAGTCACTGCTAGAACAGTCAGCTCGTTTCAAATATATATCACAGGGATACTTGTTGAGAGATTGAGAGTTAATTGCTGAGATAGTGGGGAGAGGATAGGATAGCCAATACCATTTCACAACTAGAACCCCAATAACACTGCTGATCAAAACCAGATGAAGTTAGTGTTCAATAAGACTGTAACAAAAAACAAATCGGTTTATTTAGAGTTCATTAAAATGCCAAGCATTTTGAATTTTGTTTGAATTTTGTTTTTTTAATGCTTTTACAATTGAAGTGGCTTTCTGTTGAAGATTGGTTTATTGAGAATTGTAATGGAGGATATTTGCTGTTAGAATACCATAGAGATTGAGAAGAGTGGCAGAGTCCATGAGCTATGTCAAGTTATGTTGGGAGAAAAGGATGACTGGGGAGGTAAGGAATCCCATGCTCTTGAGGGAAAGGATGTCTCAGTTGGCAGCACTCTCACCTCTGGGTCAACAGGTTCTGAGGTTCAGGCCCACATCTGGCGAATACTCCAGTGCAGTTCTGAGGGAGGTACTATAGTTTGGATGAGGTCCTATCTGCGCGCAAGACATTAAAGATCCCATCACAAAAAATGCATTGTTTGGTCAGCTGGGTGTTGACACGCCAGAAACCCATTACAATTAATCCATGCTTAAGAGGTATATCACCTACACATAGAAATGTTACTATGTCTGGAATGGAATGCACATTCTCTCGTTGGAGGATGCACCCTGATTACCTAATTCAGAGTATTAGGCAGGGGTTGGAGAGAGCCTATGCTTGGGGGCCACATCAGCAAGTGAATCTCCCGGGTGCCGTAACCAGTCACTTTACCCATCAGCAGGCGACACCTCCTTCCCCCTCCCCCCCCGGGTAACGTAACACCAGACGGATTTTAATTCCTCACATTCATCCAGTAGTTATCAAAGGTAAACTCTTTACTTATTGATGCCTCATTAATATTAATGGGAAGTCTTCAGTCACTGACATTGTTATCAGCCACTGCACTTTTTAAGTATATTAATTAATAGCTGAAATAAAATATGCATAGATTATAACTGTTTGGATTTAAATTAACATAATTAGAAACCTTTTGAACAGATTTAGCTAAATTCCAGTAAAGAGCGTCAGACAATAAAAACTTAGAAAATGAAGTAACATTCTCAGATTGTTCGAATTTTAGCGAATGCCTTTTTGTAACAGAGAGCTATGAAATATTGTGAAAGCGAAACATCAGTTATATTTATTAAAGCATAAGAAAAATACGACTGTGAAAGGTTGACAAACTGCAGATTAAATTCTTATCTCATGGAGAGATTTACAGGCTCAGAGAACCTTTTTTTATCCTGACGTCTATTCAGATGGATTTAAACCTTTAGGCTGTCATGCTTAGTTGGACCCAGCTTTGCCAAGTGTAACTAAGTACCCATAAAATATGCAGTCACTCCACTTCACAGGACATTGTGGGTTCAAACCTTACACTGGACCTTGAAACTCATATACTGGCATTCCAGTGCAGTGTTGGAGGTGTGTTTCATTGTTGGAGGTGATGCTTTTTGGATGAGATGTTATATCAAATGCAAGGATTATTATTAGTATTAAACCAGATACCATCTGCCTGCCCAGATGGATGTTAAAGATTCCATGACACAAAGTCGAAAAGAGAAGCGAGTTTTTCCTGATGTCCTGCCCAACAATTGGTCACTCCCTCCATGGCTGTTTGCTCGACATAAACTTTCAAGTTTATCCTGTGAAGTGCTTTGAGACGTCTCGACAAAGTGTTAGGGAACTATATCAAATGCAAGGATTATTATTAGGATTATAATAAAGTGGAAGGAGCAAGGTCTAAATTGCAACATTCATAAACTGAATTTCATGGGAATTACTGTAAAGTGTAATTACTGGTATTATGTTAACAAATGTAGCAGTCAATTGCACAGAACAATGTCTCACAAACATCCATTAACTGAGTGACCAATTTTATCCAGCAGTTGGTGGTCAGGACACCAGGAGAAACTTCCATCTCTAATAATAATAATCTTTACATTTGGTAGAGCGTCTTTCACTTTCACATCTCAGAGTCTCTTTTCAGTTACAAAAACAACTTCTTTCTACACAATTACAAACATGCATTGATTTCTGAGCAGAGAATGTATTATGTTGCGGTAATGTTTCAGGAAGGATGATGGCTTGTCAAGCAAAATGACATGTTTGGCCACAAAATTATGTTTATTGCATTTCCTAGCATCTGATGGTTAGCATTTGGTTTTCTGAGAAAATATAATTAGAAAAATCAAGATTCGATTAATCCTTTAATCGTGCCCTGAACATCTAATCTTTTCTTTCTACCCAAGCAAATGTTTCTGCTTCCTAATGTAGCATAAATTCACAGAAATACTTTTTGCATCAAAGGAAAAACTTGCTCAGATCTCTGGAAATACTTGATGGTGTAGCGCCATCTATTGGCCCGAGTCTTTCAATGCAGTTCATCTTCCTGAATGCTGAGGGTTTTTTTATTGTGAATATGATACATAGACTGCCTGCCTGCTGCTGTTTGACAAGAACTGGTTTAACTATATTTTTTCTCCCCCGTGTTATAAATAATATTTTCTGTTCATTTTCAGGAATACCGCAAGTAACCAAACAGCTTCTGACGAATCCAGTCTTCACCTGTGTGGTGTTGTCTGCCTGCATGGAGGTTGCAGCTATAAGTGGGTTTGCTGCCTTCTTGGGCAAGTACTTGGAAAGGCAGTTTGGTCTTAGCGCATCGTATGCCAACCAGTTCATAGGTAAGAGAACCGTGACTTGCTTGATTTCTATTTATGTTCTCAAATTCAGCAATATTAATACAGTTGCACTCCTGGCTTGTGCCTTTTCAAAAATGGCAATCTGTCTCATACTTGCATTCCCTTTAGCTATGTGAAAACATCTTTTGGCGTGCAAGTCTGGAATGAGCAGATACAGTGATTTCAAATGAAATGATTGTTGTCAATCTTTCCTTCTTAATGTGCAGTGCTGCACTGCTTTTACCCAAGGCTCTATCTGAAGATAGCTCACTGTTACCAGTCCAGTATTTTGGTACATTTGGACTGTACTTTAAGACTACCTTAAACCATGTCCCAAAACTGGTTGCCAGGTTTGCCCACAAAAAAATCCACACAGTCACTCCACTTTACATTATATCCTGTGAAGCACTTCTGAGATCTCCTCCTGACTTGAAAGGTGCTATACCAAATGCAAGGATTATTATTATTATGGGGCTTGAATCCACAACCTTCCAACTCAGAGGCAAGAACCACAATAATTTACAGCATAGAAAAAGGCCATTCGGGCTGCCAATTGAGGGAGGCTGACACATGTGGTCTTTGAAAACTGAAAGTTGCTGTGCTGATTGTTGTGTCAAGCTTATGACTGAAATTGTAGCACTCAAAACCATACATACTAAAACAAATCATTATTTCAAACGAAGCCTCTTGTTTATATGTCTGACTAACTCATTCCGAACTTGAATTCCGAAAGATCTGACATACATAGGGACATACTAAATTGACTGGAAATATGTAAGGGTTTTTCTCTTTCATTCACTATGGGTTTCTGCATGTGAACTGGTCGGTAGTTTGGTTGTTTGCAATACAGCTTCCTTAGAGCCATGCAAGTTATTGAGGGAAGTGGCTAGATATATAATAACAATAATAATCCTTGCATTTGATATAGTGCCTTATCATATTTTCAAAACGTCTCAAAGCGCTTCACAAAATATACTGTAAAGTGAATTAGTGAATTGATGTAAGTTGAGGTATGGGGATAAGACAGGGTGGTGGGAATGTATGAACAGCTTCCTCTGAGACTTGAGGCAGACTCCATGGGCTGAATAGCCTCTACTGTGCCATAATTTTCCATGATTCTATGCTTTCTTTATGAAAAGTGGGATCTAAAATGTGCGATTCACAGGTGTATTAAATGCGACTTCTGTTCTGGGACTGAAGATGCATGATTGGCAATTAAATGTGCTCAAAAAAATTGTGATCCCAGAACAACATCAACAACAACAGCTTGCATTTACATGGTCCCCTTCTTGCAAGGAAGAGTTTTGAAGCACTTAACAATGGCATAGATCGATGCTACTCTGCATATCAGTAATAAATTCTGAATAGGTTACTGACAGACCACTAAATTCAAACTTTCCAATGTGTTTCAAAATTTATTCCTAAAATATCCCAGTGATAATTAACCATTGTGTTTTTATCCACACAAGCTCATGTTAGTCTCCTAATCATCAGTCAGCAGCAGGAAACGACTGCTGTACATTCAAACAGCTTTCCTGTGTGGGTGGAATTGTGAAGACAACTCAGTGTCAGGAACAGATTTTGCGAAGTGCTTTGTGTATTCACACACAAGTTGTTCGGATCCTGGAATTTCCCTTTAATCTAAAATAAAACAATGCAGCTCCTTGAAAGTTTTCCCACTACTTTCCCCTCTCCCCAGACCACCTTATACTAAATTCTGCTGTTACTGTATTTCCTCTCTAAGCAGTTACTCAATCTCCTCCATCCCTGGGCCAACTAGTTCTCCATTTGCAAATTACATGTTCCGTGCTGTAATCATTCTATTATTAAATTAAACTATTCGAACATGAGGAGTAGATTTATTTTACTGCAATATTAACACTAAATTAAAATCATATTTAATAATGATAATATGCTGTACCTTACTTCACCCTACAAAATACACAGTCACTACACTTTATAGTGAAGCACTTTGAGAAGTCCTCCCATAGTTCAAGATGTCATATCAAATGCAAGGGTTACTACTATCATTATTATTATGTATTTTGCCATCTGTTTCCTCCTATTCTTTCTTTATCTTCTCTGTCTGGTTTTTATTTTCAACTTTAATACTACTTTCATAATATACCCCCATCATACTTTTTCTAACTGCCTTTTACTTTGAAACATGACTTGCACATTTAATTAGAACAGAACAATTTATTTTTTAATCAATGGTTCCTGTTGTCTGAAAACTGATGTTAAAAGGTCAAACTTTAAGATTTGAGACATTATAGACGCAATCTTGTCACTCCATACGAAACAAGAATAACAATTTACATTTGTATACCACCTTTCACGTCAGGAGGATGCCTCCAAATGCTTCACACAGCTGACTGGGAGCCCGAGCTGAGGGGAAGGGAAGAGCTTAATGTATAAAAATGTATCAGAATGGGCAAGAGACCTGCCATTAAATATACCGGGGGACAATGCCCCCAACAGTACCTGAACACTTAAGGTGGACATTCTGCTTGGAAGTTTGAGAGCTACTCACCTTTGAATAAAACAAAGTATAGCTGATCATTTTTTCAGACTATCTTTACATAATTTTTGATAAATGGCTCAGGAAACAAATACCAGATATCTGGTGTGCAAAGTTCCCTTCCATTCTCCAGCAACTGTGTCTGCCTAATTCCCGCAGACAGCAAATGGGCCCCAATGCAACTGGGAACCTGATGATTGCTTTTACCAAAGGCCTTTCAAACATAGAGTTTTTCTGAATAGTAGGTTATAGACAGAGCTTCACAATGAAAAGTATTAAAAGTTCAGGGTGTCCACAAAGTCCTCTTATCCCCATGTTACAAAACAGCTGTATGAGACTAAGGAAGAGCTGAAACAAGCTGTCAGAGATGCATTTCTCCTCGTCACTCCATCCATGTAATGGAAGATGTCACACTGAACATGGCAACAGATCATTATCTGCCATGAAAATGTTGGCGTTCGCACCAATCCATATGTTTAAGTTGTAGTGCAATGTAGGAAAAAATAACATGGGAGTAACAAGATTTTGTGGACACCCTGTACTGGGATTTCAGTTTCCTTGCACAGAAGAATCTCAGATACTTTGTTTTCTAAACCAGAGCAAGTGAGGACTGCACCCACACCCTAGTTTCCTCGATGTTCGGTAAATATTTGAGTGGGTGCCAAGTTCCTATTGTGCGGTTCTTATTTAACAGGAGAATGGATGCTAATGCCAATTTCAACATGTTTCCCTTGCTAGGAGTCACAGCTGTTCCTTGTGTGTGCCTCGGAATTTTTCTGGGTGGCTTTGTGCTGAAGAAGATGAGCCTCACTCCACTGGGAGCCATTAAAATGACCATGACTGTAAACCTGCTATCGACCACCACATATGTTTTGCTGCTGTTCCTGGGTTGTGACACAGGGCCAGTAGCTGGTGCAACAATCGGCTACATGAATGGGTAAGAGGCACATGTTCTCACTGAGGGTGCAGTTTGTGGTATTTTGTAATAGAATTCCTTCAGAAGGAAATTGAGTTGCGCAAATAGTAACAATAATAATAATAATCCTTGCATTTGGTATTGAACCTTCACATCAGGAGGACATCCCAAAGCGCTTCACAGGATATACAGTAAAGTTCAGTCACTGTCTATTTGTAGGCGAATGTGACAACCTATTTGCGCACTGCAATGTCCGACAAACAGCCACAAAGTGAATGACCACTTTTATTTGGGGGGCGGGATTTGCTTCCAGTAACCAATCGTATATCACAACAAACCACGGGCACTCCACTCCGACGCAGTCTACAGGAGTTGACGAAGATTTTTCCTTATTAAGGAATCCCATTAAAGAAATGCCACAATTTAAGCTCCACTGTCACATGCTTTCGTGTTTATTTTATTTGTGCTCAGCGATGATTCATCTCTGGCGCCAACTAAAGTGGCTGCAGACTCCAAATGATTTCAGCTGTTTGTTCCCTTCTATTTTTGATGCAGAAGGAAAATTCAAGGTAATGCTCGGAGCCCTCCACAAATATTTGTTCCGAGCACTTCAGCTGAGTGTAGAAGGGAGCAAACATTCAAAATGTATGTTTTCCATTTGCTGACAGAGGCTGATTACCACAACTGAGCCACTGCTCGCAGCCCATGTCAACAGAACTTCAGTGGGCGCTTTGAAAATGAGCTTTGAAAACTGTTACCCCTGATAACAGTGACAAAACTGTCATCGCTATGGCCTCTCTTTCTCTTTTTCTCTCCGACAATGCTCCCCTCCTTACTAAACAGAATACAAGAGACAGCTTGCTGGGAGTTACAACTAAGGAGTCCTGTAGCTCAGTGGTTAGAGCACTCGCCTCGCAAGCGAAAGGATGGTTTGGTTCCCGGCAGGGCGAAACCTTGGGCAAGTTTCCTTACTCCACACACCTGCTAATTATCCCTCAAGAAAATAATAATAATAATTTGGTCACTCAATGCACGACTGTTTGCGGGACACTGTAGTGCGCAATTGGCTGCCAAGTTTTGTCTACAAGTATACAGTCGATTCACTTTACAGTAGATTCTGTGAAGCCATTTGAGATGTCTTGAAGACGTGAAAAGCACTGTATTAAATGCAAGGATTATTATAACATTTATTATAACTCTAAAAGTCAACAACAACAAATTACGTTTGTATAGTGCCTTTCACGTCGGGAGGGTATCCCAAGGTGCTGGACAGTCAAGGATTTTCACTCGAGCTGGGAATTGGGATCAGGAGGGGTAGAGGGTAGGGAGTTTGGTGATTAGGAGGGTGACCGATGGCACGGTCGAAGAGGAGGGTCTTGAAACGGGCCTTGAAGGAGGCAAGGGAGGAATCAAAAAGAAGAACTGTGGGATGGAGTTCCAAAGGGTGGAGTCCAGCTGGAATTTCACGGCTTAGCACTGAAATGCTGGGATCCTTGTGACGATAGGTTCAAAGATGCCACTGGCCGAAAAGGATTTTGCACGGAATCGTTTGAAGAAAATCTGGGTGGGGGAGGTGGGCAGATGTTCCCCCATGGCAGGTATTAATGGGACACCTCAAGGAAACCCTTAAAGTAGTAATTATCACATCAGTCATATCACATACTGTACTTTCCCCCCAGCAATAACTGCCGCAGAAACAGAAAGTGAACAACGCAGGTACTGACATGTCCTTTCTACCTTTACGTTTTGCCCACAAAATATACAGTCAATTCACTTTACAATAGATTCTGTGAAGCGCTTTGAGATGTCTCAACGACGTGATAAGGCGCTATATCAAATGCAAGGATTATTATTATTATTATACTCCTCGGGCTTGCTCAACTGCTTCATGTCTCATCCCAAGAGGAACCATGCTTAATATTACTAACACTGGCAGATATTTTTCTAAGGGCTCAGTGACTTTCTGCTGCTGAAATCCTGTGGGCTCTGAATAGTGCCTTACCTGAATAGTGATCTTCATAGTGTAAGTGGAGCTTCCCACTTTGAATTTTCAGCTGTGTATTGAGAGAAAGGTTTCCACTGAACACAAGGACAGAACACATGTTCAGGCCCAGCAATAGGGGACTTCAATTCCAACTTCTCACTTCAATTCGTTACTTGCACAAAATGCAGTAAATTTCAAGTAGGTTTTTTCAGTAGCTTTTTGAAGCTGTGCACTTGTAACACTTCGCTAAGCAAACTGAAAATTTGCTTCAGTTGCATGTTTTTGCTTTGCCTTTGGGTTCATACCAAATACCACACCATCCTCCAAATTGTGGATTTCAGGCCTGTGTTTGCATTGATCCCTGTTCTTAGATATTACTGGGATCAGTGAGCCGGGTTCATGTTGGGATCTGAACATGTATTCAGTGAAAGCCTTTCTTTCTGTGCTACAAAGCCAATTACTGATAATCTGTCACTTTAACAAATGAATTGCAGATAGCGCAATCCATGAAAGTCAAGCATACTGTCACAAAGTTTACAGTGTAAGAGCTGGTCTTGCATATGGGTAGAGAAAACAACTGACCTGAGTGTAAAACTCCCATTGCTTTAAACAGGTCAGAACATTGTGGTTGTCTTTATGCAGTGTTTACCAATTGCTGCTGAAACCTGCGATGTTCATGTAGCAATAATACTTAATTAATTTGTTTTTTTTCCTCTTAGTTCTTTTGATGGGCTCAAAAGGAATCTGACTGTACAATGCAATGAGGATTGTGGGTGTACAAAGAACACCTTCAACCCAGTCTGCGGATCCGATGGCATCACCTATCTGTCTCCATGCTTTGCGGGATGCACTGACAAGGTGAGGAAAAGCTCAATGGTTGTCTTGTGTCTGGGGATTAGTTTGTTCTTGTGTTTTAAACATGTAAAGAAGTTCCCTCCTTATAGATCAGGTGAGCTTAGAAGAGTAACAATGGTAGAATAAGCGATGATTCTCCAATACTATAACACTGTACAAGTCACTCTGTTCTGGGTTTTTTTGGCAGTCATTAACATTGGCTTTGATGTTGAGATACATGATATTATCGCTTGTGAAATGATCACATCAACTAAGACACATCAAGTCTGGTTCAACAAAAGCAGGACACTTCTGTGGAGACCACATTTAGATTACTTGCATTTATGTAGCACTCTTCACACAGGATAGTATTTCCAAACACTATACAAAGGCAGGTGTTGTATACAAAGCAATGTCCGGTTCCAGAGCCAGGCAGGTCCAGAGAATTCCAGGGCACTGGCACAACCAGTCTGGCTCAGCCAACCTGCACCTAATACTTTCTAGATTCAGGTAATCAGGATGTGTTCCTCCAGGGAGAGAGTGAGTGTTCCATTCCAACAATCTATCTCTTAGAATTTCCCTGCAAGGTGAGATGTAAGGAATTCTCAGTTTGGTTTGGAGTCCTGTAGCTCAGTGGTTAGAGCACTCGCCTCGCAAGCGAGAGACCTGGATTTGATTCCCAGCAGGGTGAAACCTTGGGCAAGTTTCCTTACTCCACATGCCTGATAATAATCTCTCAAGAAAAATAAAATAAAATTTGTGAAGTACATTATTGGGGTGAATTTTGCAGTGTTTCTTAACTTATTCACAATCAAAAAGCACAATCAAAAAGGAAGGTCTTTAGGCACGATTTGAATGTGGGGGCAAGGCGGAGGGATTGTGGGAGAGAGGTCCAGAGTTTCGGGGCATAGTGGCCAACGATGGTGGAATGGAGGGCATGAGGGACAAATAGGAGGCCGGAGCCAGGCGAGCGGAGGCAGCGGGTGGTGAGTGGGTAGTAAGCAGGAAGAGAGGTGCGCGGAAATTAAGTGATTTGAAAACGAGTGAGAGGATCTTGAAATCAATCCGTTCGGTGATTAGGAGTCAGTGGAGCCTGGCAAGAACTGGTGTAATGGGGGTACAGAGTTTTGTACGGGTCAATATCCGAGCGTCGGAGTTTGGAATTGCATTGTCTCAAAGCACTTCACAGGATTTTACCATAAAGTGTACAGCAAATCCTTTGAAGTCTTTTGAGACAATTCAACAACATGATAAGGTGCTATGCCAAATGTAAGGATTCTTCTCATTGTTCATAATTAGCACAAAGAATGGATTTTAGTACATTGCAAATGTGTTCCTAATACAGTACTTAGTTATTGCCACAGTTTCTTAATGAAGGACTAAACCTGTAATCAGCACACTGCCCCTGAGCTAAACACCCACAGTCATTCCTCACCGTCAGCTGGACACTGGCTGATGAGGGTAAAAAAGGATTCAGATAGTTAGTTTACTGATGTAGGGAGCTGAAACTCGTATGTAACTCCAACTCAAGAGGTCTCATTTGCCAAATGTTAGAAACTTGGAGACAATTGTCATGAAGACGTAAAAGGTGTATTCTGAAAGTTACAATGGTTATTCTGCAGTTACTACAGTGGAGTCTTATCATTCTGATCTATAGCTGCTTGCATTGTACATGTGTGCAGCTGGCAGGTTCATTCCCTGTATGCTGGCCGGTTCACTCCCCGTGTGCTAGCCAGTTCACTGCTATAATGGAAGGCTTTATACGAGGGCTGCACTGTGTAACAACAGAATTGTTAATTGGAACATGTTATCACTGAAGGGCACTATACAAACATAAATCGTATTGAAACCAGGGATCATGCTGTCAGGAAAAATGGAGAGGGCACAGGAGCTGTTTATCAAACTCTTCAGAGCCAGCTTTGTGGTTGTGAAAATAAGTCCTGAACACAGGAAATAACTCTGAAATAACTTAGCACATTTCTTGGGAATATCAGCATATCTACTTATGGGCACTCTCAAGTGAGACTTTCTAACTCATACGATTTATAAGATGGGAAGGCATCCAACTTTGAAATAAATTGGTGTATTTACAGGCCTCTCAGCTGCCACAGGAATCCTTGTAGGTGCAGGAAATCACTGCTCAAAATAGGTTCTGTATTTGGATAGCTTCTCCACAGTGAGCTGTGAGTAAGTTGAAATGTAACTGTGAAGGGTGAAGGGAAAGAACAGGAGGATGAGATTAGATACGATGGGCTGAACGGCCTTCTGTGCTGTAAACTCTATGATTTTACAATCTGGAAGGGGCTCTTTTTCAGGATAATTAAACTGGTTCAATAATAAGCAATGACACAGGCAACATTTATTATTTTACAAAGCACAACACCACCACTGTTGTAATGCCTCTTCATCGATACATTGCTTACGGTGCATTTAGAGTTTAACAATCCACAGGAAAATGTTTAAAACTGCTCCAGATTTGGGGCTGATGCTTAGTTCAGAAGGCACATAAAATATAATCATATCCACTTTACAGTATATCCTATGAAGCGCTTTGAGTTGTCTCGAAGATGTGATAAGGCGCCATATCAAAATGTAAGAATTATTAGAAGGATTATATTGTAAAAGGTTTGATGAACTGGTTGGAGATACAAAGTGTTTTTTTTTGTTTAAATCTCCACGGACAAAATGCTTTCTCTCCTCAGACTCTCAGCAACTGCGCCTGTATCAGCACGGAGTTTGGTCAGAACGCCACGGCTGTGGCAGGGCGATGCCCCCGGACCAACTGTGAGCTCACCTTCCCGGCTTTCTTTGCGGTTGTTTGCGTTGGCAGCCTGATCGGTGCCATGGCTCAGACGCCATCCGTCATGATACTCATCAGGTGAGTGAGCGCATTCCAGGGGAACAGAACAAAAGAGGCAAATTACATTTTTATAGCTCCTTCTCACATTGAAATGTCTCAAAGATAATTACCGTCAAATGTAGGGACCGTCTTTTGTAGGCAAACACGGCAGCCAGTTTATGCGTAAAACAATGCAATTTACATTTATGTAGACCCTTTCATGTTAGGGGGGTGGGGAGGGGAAAGGTGACTGAAGGTGCAGTCAGAGGTCACACATCAAGATCTCACACACAGCCATGACCAACTTACGTGGAGGATTGTAGGTCAAAACATTAGAGAATCATTTTTTCTTGAATAGTGTCATGGAATATTAACGTCCACCTGTACATGGAGATGGGGTCTTGGTCTCATTGCTACATCCAACAACACAGCCTTCTCCAATACTGCACTGTGGTTTCATCCTCAAATATACATGGAACTTGAGCTTTCTGACTACAGAGGGCTACCAACAGAGCCAAGCTGATGTCAGTCAAGGATGGTTTTGTTCTTACTTGCAGAGCTTGTCAGTACAGCTCTGTGAAGAGAAAGAGTGAGCAGATTGGATTATTGCACAAGGGAGGGAGGGTCACATGTGTATATATGAAAATTATTGTCAAAAATAGCTTTTAACTATCAAATGAATTTGCATATGAACAGCCTGCCCCCCCATTCTATTTTGACACAGTGATTTGTTCCAGTCTCTGACTGGCAGTACTTTTGTTGCTGTTTTGGTCCCATACTCTTTCCTGTGTCCCATGGAGCGCTGATCTGCATGTGGTGGTTAAGAATAGTACATGTGAGAGTGTGTTATTGCGTGATTTCAACACTACACAGAAACAAGCTCAGCATTACAGACTGGCTCATGAAATGCAGCTGGTGATAATTAGTTTGCTTTTCTTTCCCTTTGCAGGTCGGTGAATCCTGAGAATAAATCGTACGCCCTTGGTGTCCAGTTCCTCATGCTCAGATTACTTGGTGAGACTTTGCTTCATTTAATGAGACATTGGGGTGAAAAATGTGACTGTTAATGTGTTAAGGAACGCATGACTGAACATTCAGTTTGTTGATAACTAAAGACATCTACAATTGATATGAATTGAAATGATTAATGTATTTGACATCTGAGAGCTTTCTTCAAAGGTATTTTGAGAAGATAGAGAGGCTATTTTTAGAACTGATGAATCTTTCTTGCACAAAATCTATGGGGTATAATTTGCAGTGTTCCTTAACATGTTCCTTAATTTAACACCAGTGTTAATAATCACAAAAAAGCAGTATTTTCAATGTCAGCCCCACATGCCTCGAATTTCACCTAGTCTTAGCCTGTTAGCCTGTTTTGTCTTAAAATTTAAGACTGCAGAATTGTGAAATATTATTTAATTCAGTTTTAATTTGGAAACTGTTTTGCCGCAATTTGTTGAAAAAGGCTTCCAAAATCAAACTGTTTTGAGGAATTTTCCACAATTCTGTGCAATCTCGAATTATAAGACAAAACGGTTGTACAGGTTGAGACGAGGTGGAATTTGGAGAGAGCATTCCAAGCTCACTGCACACTAAACCTGTTATAATGCCCTGCCTGGCCACCGGTGGCAGTACCAGCCTGAGTACCTCTCATTTCCAAACTAATCCACTGCCGTTTTGAGTATTTCAGCTCTGAAAGAGAGATTAAAGTTTGAGAGGTTCTTGGCCCTTGGAGGGTCAGGTAGTATATATTGTAAGACTGATTTTCTCCATCAAAAATTGTTTTGATCAAGACCCAGAAAGTGTTTAATTGATGTTGGCGCCTCAGGTGCCAGGGTATTATAATAGGTTTAGTGTCAGCAAGGAATGCTAAAGGCACACAAAACACCACTTACTGTGCGGCGATAAGGAATGCATTGAGGAATACCCTAAGCTTTACCCCAAGTGTCCTAACTCACTCAGAAGCCCTGAATGTGCTGGTGTTCATCAGGCCTCTGTACATTGGCCAGGTAACAATTCTTCATGTGTTAGCCTAGATAGTTTGTCACCAGGCTACCCATCAACAAGATCAAGTGTGAACCAGGCCACACTTGATGCATTCCCACTCACACCTTCCAGAACTAAGGTATTTGAATATCTATTAGGAGAAACTGTAGCTGATTTAAGATTAGGTCAGTATCCAGGGAAACAGGGTGGAATTGCTGCTCCCGTGATCGGGAATAATTTCAGGCTCAACAATTCCTGCTCTCTACAAACATAGCATCAATGATAGAAACTACAGAACCCGTGGGCAAAACCATTCTCTGGAAGTCAGACAGTATCCCAAACCCATTGTTAAGGACTGCTTTTAAGGATATATTTTAACTGCTTTGTCACTGGTGATAATTATGACATCGCACACAAATTTGTTCCCCAGGTTTTTCCTTGCTATTTGTGTTGTCTGTATCAACTCTCTCTCTCTCTCACTCTCTGTTGATTTAGTTTCTGCATACATGTTGTTTTCTCATCTCTCTTTGTGTTGCTTTCACCCCTTTCTTTCTATCATTTATTCCTCTTTCCTTTGTGCTCCCATGTGTGTACCCATTTCAAATTCGCCTTTCACAACTTTTATTTTCTGATAGCGGACCTTCCCCACTGTGTAGAGACAGGTCTTTAAATGCCATACTACTACTAATCCTTACATCTGGTGTGCCTTATCACATCAAAATGTCTTGGGGAGCGACAGGATTTAATGTTGAATGCATTGGCCTTATTTTGTAGGCGAATCTGGCCAACACTTTGTACACATCAATATCCCACAAAGTCATGAAGTGAATGACTAATTTTGCCTGGAGGATTGTTGGCCAGGACACCAGGAGAAGAAACTTTCTCTTTTTTAAAAGTAATACCACAGGATCTTTATCATCCGCCTGAATAGGCAGACATCGGGATCTCTTAACTAAAGAACAATACATCCGACCATACTACATTGGCCTAGAGACCTTGAGTTCAAAGTCCTGATGGGGGCTTGAACTCATAATCTATCTGGTGTCAGTGGTGAAAGTTCTCCCAACTCAGGACTGACATAGTCATGGATACAAAATGTACATCACATACCTGTACAGTCATATTTATCTTGCGGTTCTGCTTGAACAGCAGAGCGGTGTGCTAAATGTGCCATTATCTCAAGCTGCTGTGTCCTAGTTTGAGATCCTAAGGGAGTTGCAGAAAGGATGAGGGATCGGATACCAACTTATAGGATTTATATTGGCCCTGATTTCACAGGAGTGGCTCCCTGCAGAGAGCCACATTAAAATGGAAGATCAGAGCTATGATCTTTCAATGTTTTATTCACAAAACCTATACAGAGGTGGGAGGACATGTTATTAAAGGATCTTCCTTCACTTCTTTTCTCCTTTAATGTTGTAGAAGTTAATTTGAATGGAAAAATAGGCCCTAAGAGATAAGCATTTGACAAAGCTAGTTTCAAAGCCACAATGTGTGAGACCGAGCCAAGCATGTATTGTTTTAAAGACTTTCGAGCTTCACCAGGTTTGCCGAATTGTAAAAGTGAGTGGTATTAATGCATGTCAGTTTGGGATGTACCTACCCTTTGTTACATTTCACAGTCACTGGAGCTGCAGTTACCTTAACCTAATGTAAGTACTTTGGTTTGATACACACAGCACCACCAGTAAAACAGATCATAATTATATGTAGACTGACCAGATTATCAAATTAAAATCAATGCAAAATAGATTAGAAATCATTTGTTAGCCATGTATCAACATCAGCCATATGAAACGCCTTACTTTGAAATACATAAATATATAGCAGTAAGCAGACACAATTACATTTTGATGCAATATTTACTCTTATTAGTTTTGTCCTTTCCTGTTGCATGAAGTGACTCAGATAAATGGAAATATTTTAAATCTATCATGTTAACCAGTGGTTTTTTCTTATATTTTTGGGTTCAGGTGTTTACCATTATTTTACATCTGGACTGTAACTCAATAATAAGGCTGAAACATAGAGGCCTTTGAAAATAACTTTACGGTTCATTTATAATGTACATTGGTTGCTGGGTTATTGTAGGTAGTAAGATACTTACCAATCCCTCTCACATTTTACTAAAATGTGACAGAGAACCACAACTTGAAGCTCACTATCAGATCTTGCAAGCGTAGAGCAATTTACTTTGGATATACTTCTGACAAATGCAGAACAGATGAGAAATGTGAAGATAAGATAGTATTAGCTCTGTGGTGTGTGACTCCCTCCCCCACCTCCACTCCACCAGCGTATAGCCTCAGACCTTTCTCATCAGCCGCAGCATGGTGTGGAAAATTAGCATTTACATAATATTCATGTGCACTGTTGGGCATATTTTATCCAGGAAGCATATTATACGTTTGCACACACAGAGAGCAAAGCCATCCTTATCTGAGCAGCACATCCCAGCTTGAACTGTATCAGCATTGTAAATGAAATNCAAGCAGTGACATTTTTTAAAGACTGATCTCACAGTGGCTTTTGAATCATGGGTAAAACAACATTTGAGAGTGTTCTATTTATCATATAAAACATTACTCGTGTCAGATAATGGACCTGCACACCCCCAGTGGAGATTTCAAAGGCGAGAGCACATTTGGATGATGTGTTCTCCACCCAACATGAGATTGCTGTTTCAGCCCATTGAGCTGGGAATGCTTGAAGCTGTCAATTCATGTTGCTGGAATGTCTGGTGCAGAAGCTTCAGGGGCTGAGAGTGAAGGGCAGTAGTTGAACCTGAAGTCCACACATGGCTGCACATCTATGAGAAAGCACTGTTACTGTGTCTCTTAGCACAAGACACCAGTGACCCGAAACCATCGATGACCCAGAGTGGAAGATGTAGATGGAGCAAGGTTATGATCTGGTCAACCATGCATTCATAAGGATCATTTCAGATTTAAACATAGGTGCAGAGTGTTGGGTTGTGGCAGCAATGGCTAACCAATGGTGCTCATCAAACCAAATAATCCAGCAAATTGTCTTTGAGAACACAACCAGAGGTGGTGCCGGATCAATGGTTCTGACAGGGATAACACTGCTCCAGACTGTCACAATTTTCCACATCATAAGGTCACAAAATTGGTTCAGATGAAGAGGTCCTTCGGCCCATTTGATTTCATCCTTCCTGAATACCTTACTAACTTTCCGTCACAGAATCAAGTTTTTTTTAAATGTTTCCAGAGTCCTGGCCTCAAACACTCTTACAGTTATCAATTAATTGCCCTCTGGGTAAAGAAATGCCTCCTGGTGTCCCATCCTGAAATTGCTATTTTGCAACTCAAAATCTATGTTCTCTTCTACTGTCTTAGTGCATCCTAAAGTATTGTCCCAGGTTTCCTTTTTCAGTCCCATTTAAATAAAATGGTTTCCCTATAAAGTTCCCTCTGAGACATCTTTCAGTACTGAAGAAAACTAGCTCATTCCTCTAACTTTGGGGATCATTCTCATTGTTATTCAGCACATATTTGATGCCCCGTACACCGCTTGGATTTTATTCTGATGGATTGTATGTTCTTGCTCAATTCACTTTACAATATATTCTGTGAAGCGCTTTGAGACCTCTCAAAGACATGATAAGACACAATATCAAATGCAAGGATTATTATTCTGTTTGCAACAGATTCTAAACAACAGCATAAAATATTTGTTTGTCATTAAATGTTATACTTTGAATAATCTAAACATTGTATACATTCACAAAGGCTTAGTTGAGGTCAGTATTTGCAGGGATTTTGTTTTGCAATTCGAATATTTTTGAGGCAATTCAAATTGGCTGCTGCTTTTGCCTGTAGAATAGTTATTACACTTTACAGTAAATCTCCATCCAGAATATATTCTCTTCTCCCCCTCCCTTGCCTCCTCCAAGGCCCATCTCAAGACCTTCCTCTTTGACTGTGCCTTTGACCACCATCCCAGCCCCCTTCTATCCACCCCCTCTTAATTCCAACCCCCAGCTCAGGTGCAAATCCTGAACTGTCCAGAACCTTGGGACGTCCTTCCGATATGAAAGGCTATAAATATAAATGTAATTTGTTGTTGTTTTTGCCACTTGGGCATCACAAGGGCCAAGGCTATTGTTGTATTACATGCATATCATGAAGGGTTTCTAAAGGCTGAAGAGAAAATAACGTATGATTTATTTTGCACAAAATTGCTTCTGTGCACAGAGGCTATTTTGAGTTGTCACAAAAGCAATTAATCAAGTCCAGTTCGTTCAGAATCAAATATTGAAGATTATTGAGGTTTTGGCACTGAGCTTTGCCATCTAATAGCTGTTTATTCACTTGCGCTAGGCCAAGAGCCTTCACATTGTCATGGTACTAATGGGTCTACCAACTATGCAATTCCAGACTGCTGAAAAGTAGTTTATAAACCTGCTTCTCGCCCTTCTGTGAGGATGTGCAGTTATACGCCTAGCGATCGACCTTTGCAGATGTCAGCTCCCTGACTACCTGCACAGTCTCTGTTTTCGGGCAGGGGGATTTCAATGTGTGATGTTAACTAACAAGTGCAAGTCAATGCATCACTGAAAAAGCGACCAGTCTATATGTTACTTATTGACTGCTCCTTGGTGTGCTAGCTGTTATTCCCTAACAAAATTAACAATGGGATCGCGCCCTGAATGTGAGCCATGCCTTGTGTTAGACTTCTGGTACAGCTTAATTAAAAAGAAATATTAGAGTTGAGATAGTTTTCTGCTATGATCACTCTAATGCAAGTCACAAGTTCAATGCTTGGCACAGCCATTTCAGTCTCACTCTGAAAATCAGAATGGTTTTAATGCTAGAGGTGGACCTAAGATTTTTAGTGATCCCACAAAATGAAGTTTGTCCAGAGCATGAATTTAGGTCTAAGGTCAGGGTGGGGAGCAGAAGCTAAGTCTGAGCAGGAGCTGGGGGCAGGAGCTCAACAAGATCTGGAGCTGATCCTGAGCTGGAGTCTAGTATGAGCCGGAGTTGGAGCCAGGTCTGAGGTGGAGCCAAAACTGAGCTGAGTCTGAGCTGGAGCTGCCTCAGCCTTCGCAAGTGATGTATTCGGGCTGTGTGGAAGCATCCATTCAAAGAGACTGTGTTCTCATGTTTGCCCAAGTATTTCTGTGTGACACAAATCATTCAATATCCCACAGAAATAAATGACTCTCTCTACAATGTTGCTTCAGAATTTTAGAACCAATATTTGCTGAAGATGGTCTGGCCATGGAAGCTGTGAGTTGATTGATGGCTATCTTTGTTTTATTGGTTCGCTGGAGAACCATGTAAAACGAAGAACATTACTTGTAAATTAGGCTTGAAATCAGCACTTCATGCCCTTTGGCTTTTAAGTGGTGCCCTTTGTTTTCCACTGCATGAATACTTAAACTGTGTCATCAAATGAAGGTTTGTTAGTACGCCTTGTTGCACTTAAACCCAAATCAATAACACGCATGGTCTGCTTTGGAGGATTAGCAGCACATGTATCCACAGGCTCATTTGACAAATAAACATTTATCCTCGGTGATTTCTAGAGTTACTTACTAATACAAAAGAGCATAGAATGAGAAAAGCCTGCTCCTTACACAGCCGCACTAAAAGAGTGGTGCGGAACTCAGGGGTTTCTTTATATGGGCCATTGGCACGGGTATTGGGGGAAAAGAGAGCTCTTTCGGAGAAAAAGGCTGCATTTAAATCGTGCTGGGACAAATGTCCTAGCTAAACGAATTAACAGGGAAATAAATAGGAATTTAAACTAGTAAAGGGGGGGGGGAATATATAGGTAAGAGAAACCATAAGTTAGCATTAGAAAAGTAAAGATGACAGTGCAGAATAGCATGCCAGATAATAGGAATATGTTAACTAGGGGTAAGAAGCTTGGCAAAGTAGATAACGAATCAGAGAGTAGAGGAAATGGTAGGAAATTAAAAATGTTATATCTGAATGCGCGAAGCATTCGGAATAAAACTGATGAATTAAAAGCACAGATAGACACATATGGGTACGTCTAGTACGATCACAAAATATAGTCAATTCACTTTACCACTTTACAGTATGTTCTGTGACGTGCTTTGAGACTTCTTGGTGATGTGATAAGGCGCTGTATCAAATCCAAGGATTATTATTGTTATTATCTCTGTTCCATACAGATAATATCCAGTTTGTTTTCGGAAGAGATTAGCTAATTCTGGGATTAACTGTGAAAAACAATTAAACTATTAATCGATTGCGATTAAACAACTTATTTTACTGTGGACTGTATGAGTGTGAGCATCTCTTATATGAAAGTTGTAAAACATTGTCTCAGAATCTTAATATTCTTTAGTCAATTCACTTTATTCATATTCTGTGAAGCGCTTTGAGATGTCTCAATGACGTGATGACCCTATATCAAATGCAAGGAATATTATTATATTCAATTCTGCTTTTGAGATTTTTGGGCTAAGTTTATTTAAATAATAAAAAAAAAGTCCCTTACTGGAGTTTCCAAACTCAATGTAATAGGTAATAATATTAATCCTTACATTTCATTTAGGACTTCATCACGTTGTTGAAATATCTCACAGTGCTTCACAGGATATAATGGACTGTATATTTGTAGGTGAATGAACATAAAAATGGAAGCATATCACTCCACAATTAAAACAATATTTCAACATTCACACACACACAGAAATTTTTGCTAGTATCCTCACTTCATCAGACCTCATTACCTGAACGATATAGTCAAAGAGGATCAGCAAAAAATAGTTGTCTGAATGGCACAGAGCATCAATGCACCCTGTGTGGGATACTGAGTCACACTGATCAGGTTTGTTCTGTGCTCAGTTAGGGGGTATCACCGAGGCAGCACTTAGCTTCAGTATTGCTGCATCAAGGAGGGAAGAAATCAAGCAAGTTCCTGCTCTTGATTGCAGAGGCTCACCCATTAAGATGATAATTGAGGCAAGATACTGAAGGCTGCTGACTCTTGTGAAACTAATGGCCTTCAAGAGAATAATGGAAAAATATTGGAGAAAAATCTACAGAAATAGGCAGTTACAGTAAAGTCAACAACATATTTTGTAGTGGAGAGGGAGGATATGGCACGTGAGACTATCATTGGTGATGTTTGTTTCATTTACCTAAAATGCAGTCAAAAGCAATCGGTAGCTATCACTGTCTCTGAGGAACCCCCTCAATCCCTCAAGATCAGTGACACCTAATCGGTTACCGTTTACTGCATGTTGTCTGATGTGCTAATTGTCACCAGTAATAATATTACATACCGCAATATATACTCCTTTGATTTTAGAAAGAGCTACTGATGTTAGCATTCAGTTATTAGCTATCTGTTATTCTATATTTCACTGGTCTTGTATAATTAACCATGCACATTTAATTTATTCTGTTTTCTTATCCTGTTTAGGTTTTATCCCACCACCACTCATCTTTGGGGCTGCGATTGACTCCACCTGTCTCGTCTGGTCTGAAACCTGCAATAAAAGTGGAGCATGTGCAGTATATGACAATGACTCATACAGATATCTTTACGTGAGCATTGCCATTGGTTTGAAGACCATTGCGTTTATACTGTATACAATGACCTGGCACTGCATAAAGACTCATTCCAAGAGGTACATTCAGGGCGATGGGGACACAGTTGGGCGAATGACTACTTCAGATCTGTTTGCATCCACATTAACATTGGATGCAGCTGCAGCAGACACCAGCAAACCAACTGGAAGGACAACATTTATCTACCATTTGGGAGAGAATGAAATGTGTGAAAACATGGAATCTGTTCTTTAACATTTGTGCAGCTGCGGTACTTAGCTGTCTGACTATAGCTTCTGAAAAGATACTTTTGTAGTTAAAAAGGAACATATTTAAACATATATTTTAATGTTTTTAAAACAGCACAAAGACTTGTTGAAAGGCACCTGCCTTGTAAAAGATTTTTATTATTCTGTTTTGTAGATTACAGTGAGAGATATTTTGAGGTTTTTTGTGATCCTGTATGGTTCACAGTATATGCTGATAATATGGATGTGCACTAAGGTCAAGAACTGGCAGATCAGGGTTAGAAACTAGCACTAGGCCAACTGGCCAGTTTTAATATTGTTTTTTAAATTATTTGGACAGTTTTGTGCTTGTTTAAGTATTTTGCTGCATAGTAATAGTATGCGGCAGTATAAAATACTCTATAGGTAGGTATGCATACATATTGATTGCAATGGCATAAAATGGCATTGTGCAGCAAAGAATGTTTGTGAGATTTACATGTATCTATGACTATAACTATAACAAGATGTGGTTTTAGTCTCAGGTATATCTATTTGATCCACCACTTCATAAACTGGACTTCAGTATGCCACCTGACCGCACATCCCAAATGAACAAATAATGTACAGCTTGTAACGCAGGTCTACCTTTGTTGTCCAAGGCTTATTAAATAATCCCATCAACCCATTCGATGGTACAATTCAACTTTTATATCCACATAATTGACTGTTCAAACTGCCTGCTATGTAATTGGACCAGAAACAATTTTGGATTATTTTAACTCAGCCGCTGTTTAGCCTCTGAACCATTAGAGTTAATTCAAAAACACGCTTTCTGTATTTTTCTTTGGAGCAACATGTGCATTGTGCGATATCTTGTGCTTACTTGAATAATTCACTTTGGTGCTGCTAAGTATCTGCAGTCATAATGCCAAATGGTGCCTCGAGTGGTAAATGAAATATATGAAGGAGAACAGGATATCCACTGATACACCGGTTATTTATTATTGAAGCTTATATTATCTATTTTATTGCTTGAAAGTTTTTTTTAAAAAAGACAACAGCAAACATACTGGGGTCATTTTTGGTTCTAATTCATAGCGAGTGGCAGATCTGTGGTGTGGGAAACACCATTTGAACACCATTGGTATTTGTAACAGACTGTTTGCCTATTTCAGGCCATTACTATGCCCACACCATGATGCCATGCCTTTAAAATGTAGATTTGTTCAGTAACAACTAAGGGTCATTAGCTCACACTACAGTTACAATTGAAAAGGTTGCTTTCTTTCTAAACTGTGTTGCTCCTCAATGCAAAGGACAAAGACATGTTGTGACATTCTCATTGCCAAGTAACCTATGCTTGGTGCAGCCAGACCAAATGCCCACTGGCTATTTTACTACTGTCTTTCAGAAGTCAGATACACCCCAATCTGACAAGTTTACCCCTTTGCACCAGGTGAAATGTCTCCTTTTTTAGGAACTGCTGAGCTAATTAAAATAAGGTGCATGGTTTGCATTTAGAATTCAACTAATATACATTCATAATGGCCTGGTAGATAAAAGCACCACCCAGTGTAGCACTAAGCCGTTTAGACTAGAGGTTGCAACTTTGCTCCTATCTATCCTGATTTAGCTGATCACAGCCAGAGCAGGATTTGGCACTCTACAGTTGGTCATGGTGTCTCAAGATTAGGGATGTAACATTCAGACTCGATTTCTGCTCCTATTCAGTATTCAGTGACTTCTGTTGTAAAGTGTGAGTGTATGAATATTGGGTGAGGACCGGATCAGGATCAGCAGTGGTTCCCTCCATGGTTGAATAGACTGCTATCACTCATTGTCTAAGTTGACACATGATGAATAGGCACTCAAGCAATGTACATGTAGGCTGCCTCTGTATATAGAATGGTACCCCAACAAAAGTTAGCACCTTTAAGAATGAAGAGAGAGAAAAAAGGATGGTGGATGAAATTGGGGGAGAAAAAAAATATATTGTGTCTAAGTGACTTTTATTGATTATTATATTTTTTTGGAATGGCTTTCAAGAAGACAAAGCCACATGTTATTCATGCCAATCTTTACCTTAATAGGAATGTACATTTTAATATTCAATTTTTTTCTACAACAGCAATATTAAGAATACTAGTGTACATTCTGTGGAGAGTTTGTATAATTTATACCATGCTTTTTATCATAGAATTTTAAAACAATTGTATTTGCATTTTGTAAAACATAACAGATTCCATTATTGTCTCATTCGCAGAATGTGCTTTTTTTAGACTGTAGCTTGCAGTTCAAAAATATGTGTGTTATAAGTGTTAATGCCAATAAGTCCATCAAACTGTAAATTTATTATCAAATGATAAACTTATATTTAATACACATGAAACAATTACTACATATGAAATGCTTTATATTGAATTACTCTTTATGATTTACAAGGCACAGTATATACAATTATCAGTGTAATGGAGGATAAATACTGTACACATTGAAAACAATTAGAAGTTAAAACAATTAGTCAGTGACCAATAATACTTATCATCCCTTTTACAATGCAGCAATTTTTAATATGTAGCATCTTAATTTGCTACTGAAGGTAAGATTGAATAGGTAAGATTGCGCTTCTGCAATAATTATAAACAGTCAGGAAACAAGGAACAGAAGTAAGACCTTTGAGATGTTCCTATCTTTTTAGAATGGCAGATCTTTTATTCTCATTTTCTTCTCTTTTTCCATACACTTTACAGCAACAACAACTTGCATTTATATAGTAACTATTTTTCTCCTTTATAAATACCAAAAACAGATTCTGCAGGTATAACCTTCTAAGGCAATGCATTCCACATTTTCACAACTCTTTCTGCGTAGAAATGTTTTCAGGTCTCACTGACGTGGCTCTGATTTTAAGATTACATCCTTCTTTTCAATTCCTCTACCAGAGTGAAGAGCAACCTCCTAATCTTGCATGTCAATTCCCTTTATTATTCTAAGCGCTTTGGCACGTCCTCCCGACGTGAAAGGCACTCTGTAAATGTAATTTTGTTGTTGCTATTGTTGTAAACACCTCAATTGGATCATCCCTCAGTACTAAGGAATATAATTCAAACAAATGTATTTGTTGGGTTAACCTGATGATAATAATAATCCTTGAATTTGATATAGCACCTTATCATGTCTTGAGACAAAACATCTCAAAGCGTTTCACAGAATATACTGTAAAGTGAATTGAGTATATTTTATGGGTGAAAAATCGGAAGTTCATTCGGCGTAGGCTGTTTTGAGTCCAATCATTTTGATGAAGTTGAGGGGGCCCTGGCTATACATAAAATATGAGTTTATAATGGATATGTGGGGTCCTGTAATATATATTGAATGACAGTATCTTACAAGGAGCAGAAGAGCAAAGGGACTTGGGAGTGCAGGTGCATAAGTCCTTAAAAGTGACAGCATGAAAGGATCATGAAAAAAGCTAATGATTTATAAATAGGAGCATAGAGTACAAAAGTAAAGCAATAATGTTAACTTTGTACAAATCGTTGGTTAGACCGCAACTGGAGAACTGCATGCAGTTTGAAGAGGGTGCAGGGGAAATTTATAAGAATGATGCAAAAGATGAGTGGCTATAGTTTTGAGGAGAGAGTGGAGAAGTTGGGTCTGTTTTCAATGGAGCAGAGAAAATTGAAAGAGGATGTTTTAGAAGTGTACAAAATTATAAGGGATTTTTCACCGAGTAAATAAATCAGGAGAAGCTATTTCCACAGGTAGGCAGAAGACATGGATGAAGATAGTCACGAGAAAAGCAGGAGGGGAATTTAGGATAATTTTTTTCAACAATAACAAATTACATTTGCTTTGAGCCTTTCAAGCCTCCTGGCGCCTTCAAGTCACAATTCTCTGAAGGCTCAAAGAGGTTAGGGGATATGGCGTACCTGTGTGATTGAACGCACACCTTTGCTCTGAGAGCCAGTGCAGACTTGATAGACCAAATGATCTCCTTCTGTGCTGTAAATTTCAATAATTTTACCATTCTATACTATTGTTCGCAATTGACAGGTGATAGCTGCAGTATCATTTGTGCACTCACTTAGAATAGTGATAGATAATTTCCCAAATTATTCTTTCCAGAGAGTTAATCCGATCTACTTCCAAACTGTACCAGCAATATTATACTTTGGATATATTTAACATTTATCTGAGCTGCAACAACAGGCCAATCCTGAACCTTGATTTAAACCAAACCCTAACAAAGGCATATCAGCAAGAATGCCATGAGAAGATTGGAGCGAGGACAAAATACTAAATAATAATTCTTGCATTTGATACAGCAACTTTTATGTCTGGAGGGCTCTCACACTGTCTCACATGATTGCCACTTTCACCTCACTAAATACACATTCAAATGCATTGAATCTGTATTTTGTAGGTGAAGATGCTGGGTATTTAATGCAAAAGCCAGATCATATGGTTATTGTGGGACTGAGTAAGACACCAGGAGGGAATTGATGAAACTGGGATGAAAGAAGCACATATATTTATCTCAATAATGCCACATTTATATTCCAGGTGTCTGCAGATATGCCTTCAAACAAAACCTGCCCTGCACTCCCATGAGACCACTTAGACTGTGTATTTGTCTCATTGATTTTTCAGTCAAATCTAGGGCATCAGTGGTAACATAGAAAGAACTCCTCATGTACAGACTTATCCCTCCCTGCTGTCTGAGGGAGGTCTACAGAGACAAAATACCACAATTTTCATATTGCT